CCGAGGCACCGTTGGTCATCATCAGCGAGAATGTGGGGACTGAGATGCCGCAACGGTCGCTCAACTTGGGTGAAGTGACGAGGCCACGAGGGCTGGACACTTTATCGGAATGCTGTTGTTGTTGTTGTTGTTGATGTTGTTGAAGATGGAGGTGTTGATGTTGGTTGTGAGGCTCGAGAAGGGGATGATGACGGTGTTGATGCTGACGCGGATGGGCACGATGCGACAGCTGACACTGAGCCAAGCTACAGCCGCCTGCCGGCCAGACGGCACCGGCCACACCGGCACTGCTACTGCTGCTGCCGCTGCTGATGAGTGTCTGTGACGCCAGGCTGCCAGTCGGTAGGGTTCCAGTCCGGCCGGAGTACTCGACCAGGCGACGTCCGTTCAGCAGAGTTATCTCGCCATTCGAGAGCACAGCTGCGCCATTCGCCGAGACCAACGACGGCGACAGAGAGACTTGCAGAGAGCAGAGACTATCCTCAAGAAGGCCAGCCGCATTGGGCATGGGTGCGTCGTGTTTTCTTGGGCTGGTCAAGAGGCCTTGGTTCACTATTGTCTCGCCAACATCTCTCGGACTGCTGGCATAGAATCTGGCGACAGAGGGGCTCGGTGAACCGGGAACACCCATCCATGGGCTGGGAAAGATCTGAAAATCAATTTGCCAGAGAATTATGGAAGATTTAATTCCTCCCCCTTAATTAACGAAAATCACAGTTCTTTGGACAACATTTTATTTCGTGTACATTTAAAACAGACACTTTGCGTCCACCAGTCACATATGGTGTGTGTGAAATATATGCTTTTTACACGATCACCACATTTGGAAAAGACTAAAAATCCACAACATCAGCCCAAAATGTGATTCAACTAAAAGGAGTTAATTCTATAACGAGAGTCTCTAAGTACAAGGTTGTGTCAGATACCAGAATAAAAATTCATCAACAACTCAAGCTTGATTGCTCTTTAATACTTACTAGCACGGCAACTAATTCTACTGTCATAATTTTCCCAGCTATAGCGAATAGTTGGCTTGATGATATAATGATGCTTTGTTAGAAAGAACTCATTTTATCCCACTAAACTCCAGTTACTTTCCGGTTAATTTATAGAAATTAATCTCTGCGTAGTGGAAACTACTTCGCTTTTCTCTGGTTCATTAATCTATTTTCACCATGAAGCTTCATTGGAGGGACCAATTAGAGCATCTTCAAATTCTGTGGTTCGAAGACGGACATCCATAATGTTGCAATTGACATTTGATATTTTTCCTTTTTTCGTTGGCCTTTTTTCTTCGTTCACTAAAAGAGATATCAGCATATCAGCATGATTTCGACTGGTACACTTGAATACACCCCCATGATCAATATCAAGTATCTACGATGTGGAATTCTCAGAAACAAAAACAATTTTGCAGCATATAATGAAAAGCATAAAATAGTATACTCTCTATCAATTCTTTAGAAAGACAAATATTAAATAATAATAATAATAGGGGCACAATATTCCATTTTTATCAGCCCATAAGAAACATGGTCTATGCGTATACATTGTATAATGACCATTCATACAATAGCTATACACATCTTTACAAATAGCGTTATTAAAATCAAATCGAAAAAGTGTTTCCCATTGGCACTGCAATCTGAGCGATAACTTTATCAGGTCATACTATCTGTATCCAGACGTAACAAGATAGATATGAGATGTTCTCATCCTATTTCGTTTAAAGGGACAAAGGTAGTCGAATTTTCTCGCAATGCTATGAGTAGACCTTATACATAACTTCAAATGAAGTAGGGTGAACACGTCTAATATATCTAGTTTACAGGCAATCTAGAAAACCTATTTTCAAAAGAAAAATATGT